TCGGTTGAACATTTTGAGACAGGCAAAAAATATGCATTCATTTATTCAGTATAATGAACTTGGTCATAAAATTATTATTGGAATTTCTCTTGGCCATATTTTTCAGCGATGATATCATCAAGTTAACTAACAGGTTATTCAGACGTGTCACACTCAATTAAGCCTAACTGCTCACACATTTCAGCTATGAAGATGATGTTTAAAATGTTCCAATTTAAACTTTCAAACATTCTCTCGTGCAAATATATATATATATATATATATATATATATATATATATAATATATATATTAAAATAACACATGTTGAAATCGCTACACAAAAGATTTCATGTTTCAATTAATTGATTGTACTTCTTCAGGCGATGGTAAGTAACTTGTGATTAAATCATATTTAAGAAAATGTTTGCAACAAAGCGCGACCTCTTTAACTTTCGTTAAAGAGGGTACTCTTTCGGAAAAGAGGCAACACTTTATTTTAAAAATTCTTAAAAGTCATTTAATCAGCAGTTACTTACCATCGCTGGAAGAACTACAATCAAAATATGGAAACATGAAAGCTTTTGCTTAGCGATTTCAACATGTTTTTATTATAATCTTTTATAACTAAAATAATAATAATAATAATATATTGCTCAACATTGTACTGAGCACTTTTTTAAAAGTAAATGCTACTAACACTGGAATTTTACTCCATCTGTTCTTTCTCTCATTTATATATATATATATATATATATATATATATATATTATGAACTGGACAATGCCCGACAATTATTTTAAAACATGTTTATGTTTATACATTCTTTTTATAGATACAAATATTTAAGTAATGTCTGAAAATAATTGTCGGACTTTGTCCATTTCCTAATATGTGACGTCATTTGGATATTCCATGAGCAGATATGAATTTACGTGAGAGATTCATGAAAGATTGAAGTTCAAAGGCAGTAAATTCGACATTGCTAACCGAACGCTCCTCTGTGGCCAAATCGGTTAAAGGAACGTCAGGCTCTATGACGTTTCCGTATAGGATATGGGTTCGATTACTGTCGGAGGACAAATATTTTCTATAAAAATGTCTCGGACATTCAGGCCTGTGAATGCTGTTTAATACAGTTTATTATAAACAGAGAATTTACTTAAATATTTTTATCTATAAAAATAATGAATAAACATGAAAATTTCTTTATATATATATATATATATATATATATATATATATATATATATATATATATATGCTAAAATCTAATAGATTTTTAGATGTCATAGAAGCGTAAAAATGGGTTTTAGTCTTAATCAATTCAAAAAGCAAAGTATTTATAAAGAAATCACCGCCAGAAAAAAATTCTGAAGGACTTAGAGTTGATAGAGTTTAGAACAATTTAGAGGAATATAGTAACGAAACTTAGCCTCATGGTGTATCTATTATCAACAAAAGTGTTGAGTCCGGCACTTGATAATAAATTCATTTCGAGCGTTCTCATTATTGATATCTTAAAAGTTCTGATATGCTGTGGCATAAGAGATAACTACAAAAACACATCAGCTATGGAATCTCCAGAAGAACCCTTGAAAACATCAAGTCTTTCTGATCAGATTGGTTCTTGAAGATCGTTATCAATGATCAGTTCAGTGAAGCCTATGCGGTCAATGCAGGCTTCACACTAGTTTCTAACCTCTTTCTCTTAACGATCTGCCTAAAAACAATCCCGGGTCGTTAATTAACATATATGCAGATGATAGCACATTTTATGGGTGCACTTTCAGAAATCTCGCTGATCGCTAATCTGATCTAGCTCTTACAGCCCAATGGAGAAATATTACTTGTAACGATAATACCGTCAAAACAAAGTAGGTGATACTGAATTATAACCAGTCACGATGTAAAGTTACACCCTCAAAAAGACTTCCTTTCATTAAGAGATTTTAAGACAGACCTCAAGACCAACGCATATATATGATCCATCGTTAAAGACTTTGGAAAAATGATCGCCTCCTTATCTTGTTTTTTTCTTTTATGTGACGTGTCCCTTCAGGACGTAGGCGATAATGGTTTTCCACTTTCCCTATCCCTTGCAGCTCTGAATAAATTTTTGTCCCTTTGCTGTCATCCACTTGTTTAAGCCCGCTAGATATGTTATGCATTGCTTTCCCTTGTCTCTCTTTCCCTCTATTCGACCTGTGATTATCAGATTCTTCAGGCCCACGTGTCCCAGAAATTTCAGGTGCCTCTTCCCGATGTTACGTAGAAGCTTCCTCCTTGTTTACATCCTCTCAAAAACCTCATCGTTGTTCACATGCTCGGTCCATGATATCCAAAGTACCATACATCGAGTCTCTTCTTCATCTTTGTCGAACATTCGCTACCGTAAAGGAGGACAGGTACGTAGCAGTTCAGTACTCTTTTCGTTGTTACCAAAGAAATCCTCCTGCCTCGTAATATTCAGCCTAGTCTTTGAAATGTGTCTTTGGTCATCCCAATATTTTACAAGGGTCAGATCAGACCAAAAAGGGATTGTTGCTCACATATTTATTCTGTAGCTACCAAATCAAGGCTTAACACGTTCGAAACATTTACGCTGTCGTGTAGGTGATGAATTACTGTCCAAACTAAAACGCCTTTCCCACAGACGAGACGTCACAAGCCTATCGCTACTCTAGCACTGATTCCAAGATTTCTAATTCCACTACTTCAGACCATTATAGCTAAGAATCCTTTGTATTCCCTTAACAAGAATGAAGTGCCATTCTGATAGTTTCTTCCCAACCGCTGCTGTTTTGTGAATCATACTTATCAGAGAATATTTCCCTGACCACTAGAAACTTAACTTCATAATGACCAGGATGAACCATTATTTGTTCTTCATATCCCCTTAATCTACAATCTGTGCGTTCATAAAACAGCCCCATCCAGTAACTGTCTAGTATGAGTGGATCTTGCCCTTGTATTGGATGAAGAATAGTCTAAAAATATTATTGGGCTTTCAGACCTTCTTATTGAATCATAATCGAAAGCCTGCCAGGGTTAGTCGTGACGGTTACCAGTAAATCATGGCGAGAAATGGGTAAAGCCGTTCTAATTATATTTGGCGCACACGACACCATACCCAAAAGGCAAGAACTGATATTAGATGAATTGGAAATCCGAGAAAGATGTGTAACTAACCAAACCAAAGTAGTTTTAAATCTGCGGGGTCAGTAGGAAAGACGTGAGCAGACTTGGGAAGGCTTTTGCTTGTCTCTTGGCCCCTAGCGATAACAACCAAAATGTTAGTTCCATAACAATAATGGCAAGGAAATAACTGATGTATTGGACATCAGAAGTGAAATCGTAGGGGTAACAAATAAATCTATAAATATATTACTAATAATAAGGAACCTTAAGACGGAAATTGAATGGTTTTCTGCCTCTTAATTTCCTGCAATAAACACAAGAAAAAATCTCAAGTTGATGGTAAAAATTGCCGCAAAACATTGATTTCTTTATGATGGAATGGTCTATTATGACATGTCTCTAACTTGTATTTAGATACATTGGATTTATTTTCCAATTTTCTAGTTTAATTGTTCACCCATATTTCATATGATCCATAAATTGTTCATGATTAGCTTACAATAAAATTTGTATATTTTTATTATTACTACGTTACGAAAATTGAGATATGGTAGTGTGCCGTACATTATAAATTCGAGGTGGGAACGATAAACTTGCACTGGCACTGGTTAAATATTTGTGTAAGTAACTAGATATCTTCAATATATTTTTAGACGTGACCATCTTCATTGTAGGGGAAAAAATTTCTAACTTCGGTTTGTGGTTAGGAAAAGACAAGACTGTGTCATAGAGTAAACGGTTGTCTTATAATTTCCATTTATAATACGTAATATTTTTAATAAATTATTTGGTATAAATTCATAATATAATTTAGAGTAATAAAATAATATTTTAATTAATAAATTAAATTAGTGTCTAGGGAAAACGCAATAGTTTTAATATTCGGTAATTTTTGGGTTTTTTGTTTTTTGTTTTTTGTTTTTTGTTTTTTTCATCCGCATAAGACGAAGTTTCTTCTTACACTATCAAAGCCTACCTTATAACTACAATTAGGTTGCAATAAAATTTGTATTTTATATGAATACTACGTTAGGAATATTGAGATTTAGTAAAGTGAGTTGTCCTGTATCATAGATCAACCTTGCACCGACGCTGCGTGCTTGTGCAAATGGTTGGCAAGGCAGAGATTAGGAGAGGTAACAAAAAAAAATCTTTAAAAGAGGCACAAAATACAGGAAGTTGTGTAGAGACATGTTCACCAACGTCCCAAATGGGCGTGGCTTATAGAAGATTTATAGCAGAAATACTAAGGGTTTTTTTTTTTTTTTTTGCTATCTGCGTTGTGAATTTCCGGACAGTTGAGCGACTCGTAATGGTGTAATTGGTAAAGTAATTATGTAGCAAACTTACGTCTGTGCAATGAGTTAGATTTATACTGGTTCCTTAAATCCGTTGTCCTTATGCCATACCAACCAATGTACTCTTCAATACCAATGGGAGATAGCCAGGGTTTAAGGCCACATGACGTTGAATAACAGTTTCCTATACGATCACCTAATTTAAGCAATGTCGAGCTTTCTCAAGTCTCTTGGTGGGTGACACTTCAGAAAATAAATCGTAGGCGTGACAAATAAATCTACATTGATATGGCTATGTAGGAGTGTTTTTTTTTATTGACTGATTCATTTGTTGTCTACGGGTTATCAACCATTGCAGGTTATTTAAAGACAGAAAATATTTTTAGATCGTAAGAATTCTTTTGGAGGGGTAATAGTTATACTAGTCTTACTAATGACACATAGCTGGGAGACTAAGTGGATTCATACCTTTCCTAATTTTATTTGCTTGTAAGTAAATATAACGAACCCGACTGGAATTGGAACTTGGCTCTCCGATTAACAATTATAAGCCATTATCCGTTATAGCACCCGCACATTCAAGCTTACAGCACCTGGTGTTTGCAAGTGGTAACCCATCAAGCTACTGACTCGGCTTAAGGTTGCTTAACTTCGTTGATCGTATGGGAACCGGTGTTGCAACGTGATATGATCATAAGCCGTACTTACAAGAAACCTTACGAAAGAAACTCAGTGGACCTTAAAAGAACCAATAATATAAAAAAAACAAGATAAATAAAACGTAGAAAAGGGATTATATGTAGACTCTGTGGGGATAAATATGAGAAATTGACAGAACGTTGTGTAGAGCCATGATCACATACGTCCTGAAATGAAAAGGTTAAAAAGAAGCAAATTCTTTTTTATTAAACATGTGAGTAACGAAGATGTTTTAAAGAAAAAGAAAGCAAAAAAAAGGCGCTTGTATGTCGAATGAGAAAGAGGCAGTTGATATTTGTCGGACATAATAGTGAAATAAGTCCACTCACGGAATATATTAAAGGCAAGACGGACAGAGGGAAACAGCGAGTGACCTACCTGACAAGCTCGTGTAAATGAATGGAAAACAGGAACTGTGAAGGATGGTGAAAAGACAATCCGTACTAAGAGCCACAAAGTACAGGTAGTTCTGCAGAACCGTGACCACGTACTTCCTGAACGAGTGCTGAACGACTCATCACCGCCGACTCAACGGCGCCGACTCAACACCGGCCAATTCATCTTCATAGCTCACCACCAGCCTACTCAGCGCTAGGTCAACTCAACGACATGCAAACTATGAGATTTTTTTCCTCGAGTTTTAACGACCAAAATATTTAAATCATGAAGGATCATTCTTTAATAAATGACTTATTTGTAAATTAAAAATTTATTGAAAATTTTTTAACAATTTCTCTCAGCAATTCCGTTAGATATCGTTGTGAAAAAGAACAGTCTGCAAAATTCTTTCATCTGCCTTCATAAACTTCTTCAATTTAGGTGGAGGGTAATGACCCCTAATTAATTGCTCGAAAAATGCATCTCAGTTTCTTTTCACCTTTTGCAGTCCCGTAATGAATCCCTACATTGCGGGCTGTTCCTTCCCCAGCTCTGTGAGCAGTCTTCGCTTTGCTGGTTCAATATGGTTATTTTGAAACTTAAATGTTAGTCCGAAACATAGGCTGTTGTAACTTATCAATCACTATGACAACGCGACAAACTTTTAAAAATCTCTATGACTCAAAACCGATCTAACAGATGTGTACACTAGCACAGTCAATACCGGTCTGAAGCTATGAATACGACGCCAGCGTTGAGTTGTCCTCGCGCTGAAAAGGCAAGTGGTGACGTCCAATTGTTCAGTTGTCACGGAGATGAATTGGCCAGTGTTGAGTCGGCTGTGATGAAATGTCCCCTCCCATCCTGAAGAACCATGGCACATAGAAAAAAAAATGTTGGCTTTGGCAATGCGTGCGCCAGAATTCCGAAATAATTGGTAACGGTGGTTCAAGTTCAAGTTTCGGTTGAGGCTGTCAAAAATAGATAGAAAATCTAAAATAATGATAAAAAAAAACAAGAAATATTAAAATTGTAATGATAGCAAGAAGCAGAAAATCTCTGAGAGATTACTAAAACTTGGTTCTTTGTCATCGGATTTAATTTCTATGTAATACTTTTATATAGCTATTGTGACATCAAGCACATTTCCTGACAGCTTGAATCATGAAGCATATTTAATGTTTGCGAATAAGTATGAAACTCACTCAGCTTGAGTCAAATCACATCTGATTTTTTTTCTCACAAATCTCTGTTTAATACTTTGAAGTTGTTTTTATCACATTCACAAGCAATGAATCCTTCAGCTACATGTTTAAGTCTATTCATCGATGTGTTTGCTTGGCCGATTTGCGTCGTTTTGTAGACTGCACACATTTCTGTAAACAAGCAATTTCTTCGTTTTTACTTTTTCATAATTGCTTTTTTGTTGGAAAATCGGATCTTCTACGTTTTTTTTTTTTTCATTTGTTCAAGGATGAGAAAGCAAATTACGAACCCATTTTACAACGCGAGTGAAGAAGTGGAAGTTAATAAGAGCTTGAGCTGTTTTCTACATTGAACAACACAGGATAATGCAAGCGAAAGTACATTTAGCAAAAAGTGAATAAAGATGTAAAATATCGACTGTATGGCAGCTGAACAATTCACTCAGAAAGAATATGAGGAAAGGAAATTGAAAAATAAACGTATATATTCTTATCAAAAAATTGTGTGCGTTAGCACATGAAATTCATGTAAATATATACATCTATTTGCACATATATATATGTATATATATATATATATATATATATATATATATATATATATATAGACATGCATGTATATATATATATATATATATATATATATATATATATATATATATATATATATATAAAGAAAATCCAAAATTACCTTATATGAGGTTATTTTGGATTTTGTTGCGTAATTCTATTATATATGAAATGTTATAATATTCATTGAACTCTTTTGTGGATCAGTTTGATATTTTATATTACTAGGATCCATTTGGATTATATATCAACGTATTTATTACGTGTACTACACACACACACACATATATATATATATATATATATATATATTGTGAATATTTAGGCAGCAATTTTTCATTGATGCATGTTTCATTAAATAATATAGACAAGTTTTGTCTATTTATTTTAAGTAAGTTTCTTTCATATTGTGTGATAAGACTAATAACATTATCATTGAAGGACGAAAGGAAATCTCCATATTGATACATGCTTAAATCCAATCTAAGCTTTCGGCTTACATAAGCCATTATCGAAGATGACAATTACTTTTCAATATACCAACCAATACACGGACGAAACAATAATGATATTCTCTTTTTGTTGCATGAAAAATTTCAAAGCAACGACTAACTAGTGTATACGAGACGCGGAAGTGAAAATCGCGTCGCAGCTCGTGACGTCACACATGACCACGCGAGTCACCTTTTTTTTTATGTATATTTTTCTTCTCAAACAAATGGAAAAAAGGAAGTGACGTTTCACATACCGCTTGCCTACAAGCAGGATTTTTTATAACCATTCTCGATTCTCAGCCCTCGAAGTGCAGTTGAAATGCACTGAAACCAAGTTGCATCTTTGTAGTGAGTAAAATGGTTTTGTCTATATCATAAAATTATAATAAATAAATAATTATCGCTCTACCATCGGTATCGAGCCCTCTTTTGGATTAATGCTGTGAAAGTTGGAATTTATATATTACTTTCGTTCTCATCGCATCGGATATATGTATATATATATATATATATATATAGATAGATAGATAGATAGATAGATAGATAGGTAGATTTTTAATACAAGTTTGTTTAAGATGGCAGACAATGTCTGTCTTTAATCTTTCGCCATTGAAGTGCGCCTGTGATTTCCTTATAACACTTTTCTGGTAGTTGTATATCTGTACTTGTTTGATTTTGCCGTTTCCAATGTTTTTTGATAAGAATATATTCCAATGTTTCCAAGTCTGCCCATTTTTCTAATGATCACACATTTTCTCTTATTACAATAGATGTTTTGTCCTTTCTTTCCGCTTTTCTTTACTACCTTATCCAGATTTACCTGCAGTTTCCTTACTTCTTTTATACTAATGTCTATCCAATATCTAGTTCAGAAGCCACTTATTATAGAGGGATAGTTAATTATGTGTGTAATAGGAACAGGCGCTGGTAGGAAGTGATTATTATGAGGATAAAATTAAATAGCGATTATATTTTAACTTAAAGATGCAAATTTGTAGTCTTCCTGGATGCATCCTCGTGGGTTGTGTCCACAATCAACACAATTTCATTTGCTTATTCTTTTTTTTTAATTTTTGAGATCGTGTCCACCAATAATGTATCCTGGTAAGTCGTCATGTACTTTTAAGACCTCATCCCTGTAAACTTATTTCTGTATTCATCTATGGTAATATTAATGTAGAGATTTACGGTTTCCTTTTAAGGAAACATTCGGTATTAATTGACTGAATAATTCGCGTTACTGTCAGATAAATTTGTGAAATCATTCTCGTGAAACAGTTTTTCAAGAAAATAGGTTTCTCATGTCCACTGGTATCGCTCTTTCTAGTATTCTGGGAGTTTCCTTCTTAACTTTTTGTTTAAGACAGTGTGGAAGATCAACATCTTAAATATGTCATTATTTTCTCGTCAAATTACATTAAAAAAGAATGCACGAATAGATGACAGATGGAAAAGGGACAGCAAACGATGCTAAGGAGCGGCACGGAATATAGAGCCTAATAACAAAAATTTGAAACAAATGCACGCAAGTCAAATGGGAAAATTTGAAGTCAGCTCGTCAACAACCAAGTTGAACAGGAACAAAATCGCAGGACTAGATGGAATTGCAATTGGAATTCTACCAGCTACTGGCGATTTCGGCTTTGACAAGATTATGGAAATAGTAAACAAAAGATACGATAGTGTTAGTATACCGAAAGACTATAGTAAATATATTTTCGTAGCGCTGAGTAATAAGCGAGGTGAAAAACAATCTGACGTCTATCGAACAATGAGCTTAATAGGCACATAAACAAGCTTATCATCCAAGGAATAGAGCACCACCTAGCAGAATTAAACCGGAAGCAAGATAAGACAGGTGCTGCTTTGTTAAAGTAGGTGTAACAGGAAATTAGTTAGGGCGTCAGAGAGAGCAATACAAACGAAAAAAAAAAAACGTATACTTATGATTCGTAGATTAAGCAAAAATTATTTGATTAGATACGAAAGATTTTTTTTTAAATTGCTACGAAATCTTGGTTTATTTCCGGATGATATTTCAATACTACAATGCCTTATACATTGATGCTTTGCTTTAGTGTTATTTAATGCCGAAATCTATTTATTTATTTATCTAATTTTTTAAGCGTTTCACCCCAAGCAAGGCGGGAAGCCACTAGGACGCAAGGGGTTACAGAAGATTTGGAGCAAGATCAGATAGGAGTGATAGAAGAAAGGATGAAAAGAAGTATAGTGGATAGATTAAGGCAACTGGAGATGTCGATTGACATTACATTTGAATAGTTGGAGATTATAGCGCTCAGGGAAACTGGAATAGGGAAGGGAGATCCATAGCCGAGAGGTGCGAGATA